ATCTAAAGGATCCTGAACGATTAAAAACACACACGACCACCTCACCTGCAAAATGTTGTTTTTATATGTTCTTAGTAAACCGAATGTTTAGAACGGATACTTTATAGAAAAATATTTGCCATTATTTTTACTGTTTTTGATTTTAATTAAATATTCTATTGGTATACTTAATGCATAATACATCAGTATGTAAGCTAGGAAGATTTGAGTAATTAAATTAACATTAAATCACAATTAACTCGGTTCCTATTGAATTAGTTGAGAATAAAATAGGCATATTTTAATTGTACTGCCGTAATTATTGTATTGAAAAAAAAACTAAGAATAGGTATGTTTATAGAGATATTACAATTTTTAATTTTGAAAATACTGATTAATGCTGGAGGTTATCTTAGGAAAATTCTCATTTTGATGAATTAAGATTTATACAATCATTAAAGTATCCAGTCACTGTAGATTTAATCATTCATGGCTAACTACTAAACCTTTTAATGGACTTGCATAATATTGGGTTGGGTCATAATAGCGTTGTATATCATAATATTAATTCATTACCTATTCAATATCAATAAATCTATATGATTAGGACGACATAAATTTGAGGCAAAAATTTGGGTCCAATATACCTTTGGTGGATTAGTTGCGCCCAGCATATTTTGGAAGTAATATTTTATTGTATATCATCCGAAATTAAAATGAATGAAATAAATTATTATTTTTTTAATCTGAGTTAAATACTCAGATTGAGATACTTTGGCAAAAAAATTTTATTACAGTCAATATTATATGACTCACTACACATTTTATTACTTTAAACATTTTATAATCATATTATTACTATAACTAAAAATATAGTCCCAAATATAATACGAACATTTTATAAAAAGTTATTCGTGTTAATTAATACTATATTATATCGTTTATTTAATAACCTTTTCCATAAAAATTATATAAAACCATCAAATCTAAAAGTAACATTGCGTTCGAAATCCCGAGGCGAAATTATTAACAACCGGTCAAAAAAAAAATGTAACTATAAAATTGGTGATCTGGGACGCAAAAAGTTTGTCTCCAAATAAATATATTATATGAGCGTCAATATAATAAACCAGGTATGACGTATATTCGACTGAAGAAAATAATTTATTTATATTATAATATTGATGTTAAATTCATAATATTACCGTTTAGTCATAATATCATATCGTTTCAAATGCTGCGTAAAAGATTATAAAAACAAAAAAAAGTTGGATTGAACGGGAGCAGTAGGTAGTATTACTCGACGATTAAGCATTACACAGGTATATTATATTTATTTTACCTACATCATAATATCGTCGCGGTCGGTGTACTTAAAATATAGTTTTATTTTAGTTTTCGAGCACAAGTTGTAATGCTAGGGGTAATAAATCGTTGTACGTACGAGATTCATGATCGCACATGAGTTGAATACAATTTGATTTCCCACCGCCACACGCTCCCATACAGTTTGTTTTTGACACATATACGCACATATGGTATTTCAGTGGCTCTTCTCAGTGACGTGTTAAAGTCGTTCTCAAGAATTTTCCCATTTAGAGACATTGTTTGGCTGACGTTAGCAGGTTTTAACGAGATGTTTGAGAGTGAGTTTATTATTTATTTTTATAACATTGATTTTATATAATATACATATATATATATATATACAATTCATGCGCCTATATATAATATTATATAATAACGTGTTAAAACGAGATTTAAAGGATATAAAAAATAAAAAATACTAAAAAATACCCAACGTGTAACGTAATTCGCCGACACCTGTCAATCATAGATTAGACCTGTATACAATGACAAGCTTTAAGATGGTGGCGACATTTCTATCATCTCTTTTTTGAAAGTTTTTAATAAACGCTAATACGATATGAAAATAATAAGTCACGGATTATTATTTCCTTAAATTTTTTTTTACTCACACAAACATTTAAAATTCTTATTTACTAAAAAATAAAATGTGACAACATTAAAATTCAATTATAAGACATAATAACAGTTATACGTTTTGAAGAAAAATTATCTGTACCTTACAATACATATCGAATTTAAACTTTTAATGAACACAAACATAAAACATTTTGAGTGGGATTTAGCTTTCGGTAAATGTTTTAAATTTGTTTTATTTTAAAATGTGGGTCATAAAAATAGGAAAAAAAAGAATCATTTCAAAAACTAATTACAATACGAATTCCCCGAATGTTTCTTAGAATTTCTATAATAATACAGTTATTATAATAATTATTATTAATTAATACGATACTTTAAAAATAATATTAATTGAACAAAATCAATAATTTATACATGACTCCGCAAAATTATTTGTTACAAATTAAAATAAATCTTAATTTATTTTTAGTTGTATATTTTGTTGATGAATTATTAATATAAAATATTATAATATTAATATGTCTATATAATATTATGGTAAATTAACCGAAATCAACGTTATAGCAAATAGTCTGTTATAAATAATGTTTCTGATCTATAAATACATAATTTACTTGGCTACCATTTACTGTTAAAAGTTAAATTAATAAAGTATTTGATAACAAAATATATATCAACATTTATTATAAACATGAAAAAAGTACATAACATTTACACAAGTGTACGCAAAATGTTGTAATAAAATATGTTACTATAGTTGGTAAAATATTTTAATGTTAATAAAAGTATTTTCAGATACCTATTAAAATACTTAAAACCATATTAAGGATTCATTATATAATATGTTGATGCTAAGCGTTAAAAATTGGTTGAAAAATGTACCAGCAACTTGGTCTTGTAACACTCTATCCAAAAATTCGTTAGATTACATCGGTGACAAATTTAACGATTACTACAAAAAATTGACGGGTGGTCAGATATTTCCACCAGATATTCGTTTGATAACAATAGCTTACCCTCTTCTACAACAAAATAATTATCTTTTATCATGTTATCATTGTTTGTTTAATTATTATTGTTAAAATGTGACATTAATTAGGAGAGGTAATATTAGGTGGGCGGGTTATCAATTGTAACCGTCCATTGGAGATTGTCACAAAAAAGTGTGATCGGTTTGGTAAGACAAATTTCTTTTTTATCACCGATTTTAATTTAAAAGGAAAATAGTCACCGACTACACGTAACAAATATCCGGTATATTATTAAAACATTATTTCACGGACTTGAACTGTATGACAAGGCAAAAATATAATATTATTTAATTATACCGGCGTGTTGTATAGGCAAATCAACTACACGTAATATGATAAAACTATTTTAGGTTTTTAGTAATATTATTATAATTTTATTTATTTGTACTAAAACAGCAAAACGTAATATTATAATAATATTTACTCATAACTAATGAGTGGTTATATTTAAATATACAAATTGTTACAGAATAAAGGAATATGTATTGTTTGTAAAATAGAGAGAACACGATTTGTATTTTGTCGAATAACATAACAAGTGCTTTGTGTACATAACATTTTGCAACGAACGCATATTTTTTAAACATTGTGATTTCAATGAAAATATATATTCTTTTTTTCTAATGTGTTAGAAAATTAATTTTTAAAATGTATTTTATAAACACCTTTTCACAATGTGTATGGGATAATTTGTTTTAACTACTAAGCCATGATTTTTGTGTGCAAAATAATAATTTATCTTCATGTAAGAATGATTAAGGCACATTATATAGGTAAAACCATATTATAGGATAATCATTCGTAAGTGGTAGAAATATTTTTGATCTTAGATCCCTGGTTTAGATTTATTTTTAGAATATCTAAATGAACATTTTACGTATCCAAATTAGACTAGGTACTCAACTTTGTTAATAATTAAAGTTTTATTTAAAAAATAAACAATTGAGATAAAATTTAATTTTAATTGATTTCGAACCATCGGATTATTTTTGCTTTGTAACTTTAATTTAATTTTAATCTATAAATATTTTTTTTTTTTGCTCTGTTATTTCAAAATATATTCAAGCTATCTTCAATATATCTATATAATATATTATGTGTGTGAAGAAGAAAAATGATTGCAATTTTTATAAAAATATAATACAAAGAATTGATTGAACACACATAAAAATGATTGTTTCTGACTGTTGGATGACCATATTTTAACGGAAATGAAGTGAGAATTTATTGCTCGTAGTTTTTTTTTTTACTTCAAACAATGGTTAAACAAAACATATCTTGATGCCCAGTGGACATGCCGAGAGCATTAAGAGAACATATTTTTCATATAAATTATAATCGTGAACATTCAATTTTATATTTTTCGGCATAACTACCACAAACTTTATTAATGATGTGTAGAGTTAGCATTATCGGAAACATGTTAATTAATGTTATTGTCTATAATTTATTAATTGTTTATTATTCGCATTAGTTATATAATAATATGCAGACAGATGTAATTTTACATTTTAAAAACGTCACGATTAAAATTGCAATTGTGTGTGATAAAAATGTTAGCATTTATTTTTCCCAACAAAATTGGTTAAAAATAATCACGAAATGACAAACACCGAAATGAAAACTGAGATCGTATGACAGTAGACAGATAATATCCTTTCTTCTCAAGTGAACCGCGTTGGGCATAAAATTCTCTACGGTATTTTGTGTGTGTGTACAAGTAAAATAATTTGATCACGTTTCTTAGGTTACACGTATGGTCACAAAACGTAATAAGAAGCCCTGTGCTGAAAAATTCATAAAAATGGAATTACATTGCGTTCGCTTTGGTGTGTCTCGTGCGTTATTTTTTCTACGTATGACATTTTATTCAGAACACATGATCTCAAAATAAAGATAAAAATATCAAAAGTGTTACACGGCGTTGGTATGTGGACCGTGGACAGTGTAAGTCCGTTCCCCAATGTGATATGTATTGATGATTTGGGACTCGACAAACGAGCCCAGAACAAAACCACAAAGCGATAACTGGTAGGTACTTACCAATAACTGTTAGGTTCAGTCGGGAGTTTCTGGTCGGTGACTTCCGAAAGTCTACTCGACATCTGTAAATTCCGGCGTCCATTTCCGATACGTTATCGATGGTCAACATGGCCGGTTCGGATAGCATTCGGAAGTGTGACCTGCCCTCCAACGACTCGTCTTTCCAATGCGACTTGTTCGGGTCCGTAAACTTGTCTCGGATGTCCACGCTGCGAAATTCAAAACACACAATATCAATCGGTGAAGACCAAAATAAATATTTTATCCTATGCAAACTAAACGCACAAGCAGCGGGTACTTAAACTTAATTTATTAATGCCATCAAAATACGCGATGACACGCACTGGTTAAAGTGGTCAAAGGGTACAATAATTGTATACAGGTGGGAATATTATATAATTATAATAAAAATAATTCATGAGATAGTTAAATGCGGTCCTGGCATTTCGTACTCTACAAAGAAAAATCCATCAGAAGCATGGTTTCTGGATTCTATTAAATAGGTATGGAAAATATGGTGGCTGTGTTCCAAAACCAATACCTTTAAACCATTGAATCAATTGGAATAAAAATTGTTATTTTAAGAAAAATTTAATATTAATTAGGCCTACAAATATTAAAATACGAATGCATACATATTTTAATAAATTATATTCAATTAGAAAACTATTATTCACAATCAAAACAATATGCATTTGCTCTGTGAAACTTGAGTATTTTTTAATATTAAAAAATTCATAAATTTAAAGTACATAATGTATAGTTTTATAATAAACTTGGTGAATAGTATTTGATAATACACTTTTTATACGCATTTCCGAAAAAAAAAAAAAAAATTAATCCATATCATATTATTATACTATATGCATACAAGTTTTAATTAAATCTCGTCGTGCAACATTTTCATCGGTTGGTGTATGAGATCCTAGATTTCTCTACGTAACTGGATAATTTATTCAATTTAAATAATAATAATTAAAAAACACACGCATACACAGTTTATTTACTGGATGGGAAATAGTGTATTGAAACTGAATTCTATTTATTCACACTAATTAAGATATGAAAGAGAAAAACATTTTTTTCATAATAATTAAAATGAGAGCTTATAATATGAAGTTGGCAAGTGCAAAATGATATGTACCTATGTAAATTATGATATAATATCTAATTATTGATTTTCGTGGCTGATTTTGATAATTGTCTTAAATTCTTTAAATTCTACAATGATTGGTTTCTAGAAAAATGTTCTCCTGGCTGAAACTTTTCTGTTTCTAGATTTTAAAGTGTTTTTTTTTTTTTTTAATTTAAAATTTAAACCCTATCAAATTTTTTTAGTTAATATATGTAGACAATTTTTATTTAATTAAGTGCAATGTAATATTATTTTCCTTGTTAAATAGTGTATTTTGTAAACACATTTCCACCTCATGTGTTACATCTTGATCAGACCTTTCAGAACTAGAGTGTGTGGGTAGTCTATTAAATACATAAAAGATCAAATGAAAAATAAAGGTGGCCTTTGTTTGCACAAATTTACTAAAACTACAACGTATTTTCGATCATTTTTATAACTCGTTTGCGAACAGATTATTTTTCGTTCAATTGGTTGTGCACATATTATGCACATATTATTTTTATTATTAAAAAAATGCTTATGGAAAGCTTGGACTAAATATAACTTAAAATAATAATAGCTTTAAATTTGCATTTGCAAGTTGTTATGGTGACACAGACCGAAAATAATATTTTAGCCATTTACGAAGCGCAGCGATTATTCTTATACTATCCTAGTAACGACCTAATAATTTGTATTCAAAGAAACCAAGATTGGACCAAATTTGAATAACATACAATTTTACATTGAAGAGAGTCATTTTAATTCGAGTTTTGAGACTGATTTTTCGTAGTTGAAGTGAAATTCTTCAATATTAAGTTTTCGATCGAGAACCTTGAGTACATACATATATATTTTGTAATGTTACCCATAATATGTACATTATTGTTTGTTTATTGTCTAAGAGACAAAATACTACTGTGATGTAAAAATATTTTTTATAAATATAATTTGTAAACAGATGAGTAAATGTACATACACATATTATATTATCGCGCAGATAAGTATTTATTAATTCTATAAAAATTTTTGTAGCCGAAAATAATGCATGGCATGGGATTTGATCTTTACATGCCACGTAATTTTATACCACAGTGCCAACACTGAGCCACCGCAGTCTTATCAATTTCTATTAAACCTCTGTGCATTCCTGTTTGGGTCGATGTGCACGTTGTATGGCTGATGAGAAAATGCTACCGTGTCAAACTATAAGGAAAATATGACAAAATATCCACGTTAGTTTTAATTAAATTTATCATTGTTGAACTAAGTAGTTTTAAGCAAAATATTTTCTACTTAATACCTTTTTCGAGTGTAAAAATAATTAAAAAATAATGAACCCAACAAATTGGAAAGCAGTTTTGAAATTCCCGAGGCGCAGTAAATTTATTACGTAATATTATGAAAATATGCACTTTAAAAATGTTAAATTTAATTTAATAAAATTTAGTAACAAAAAACTTTCAGACAAGTCGTTATTGTTCAAAATTACATAAGTGTAAGTAAATTTACATACACTCTGTGATAAAAGTGATTCGGAAAGGTGCGCATTTTTATAAAACTGCTTATGCATTTTTCTTTGCATGAATGTAGAAGGTACCCAATAAATTATTTTAAATGAAAAAAAAAAGATGTTATTATATAAACCAACGTTTAAATATAATGAAAGTAGTAAATTTACACACAATCAGTTATATAATATACCTACTTCAACGTTGGAAAACAAAATATATTAGCTGAACCAAAGGATTATTGAACACAAATTTTACAAATATATTTTCAGGTAAATTAAAAGTGTTCTATATCATATTTTAAAATTAACTTATGCACTTTTGTTGAATAATATTATTCAATTCTTTATAATAGCTTGAAATACGTTTTGAATTTCAACCTAGATGGTATAAGAACCAACTACCAATTTATAGTATATGTATATAATATTCACTATATATGTACATCAAAATTAAACAAATTATAATAATTAAAATCATAAACTGAATAACAAATATTTGAGGAAAAACTGTTCAGTGCATAATTATAATAAATTGTATTTTGTAGAATAATAATAATAATTATTATTATTTTTCATAATTTTTATGAAATTAATTTTGAATTGTTTGGCAGAGCGTTAAACATGTATTTATATATTTTAAATGTCTTATTTATGCTGGTACAAGGACAACTTATCACTGATTAAGGACCTGACCATAAACTATAAAATTGTCCAATAAACAGACATCAGTTTTTTTAAAATGTAACGGAGCACAAAAAATACTGTGCATCATAAGTCATAACTTACGGCGACGGATAGACATTTGTCTGTCTGCTTGGCATACCTAATAAGTTACAAAAAAAAAAAAAAAAACAATGGAATTCATGTGGTAAGTCGCTCGTTACAAATTACAAACATGTGCAGGAAAATCGTCACATAATACTGGTTAGCAAATTCCTATAGTACGACGAAAAGTTAACAAGTTAAATTCAGGACCGCGGCTCAAGGTACGTCGTCGGTCGAACGGAATACTATGCGTATCTAGCCCGCGCCAAAGTTCCCAGAGCATAGTTTTAGTTTTTTTATGGTGGGTTAGAAAGTGCGGAAATCACCTAAAGTCAACAGGAGTTGTTTAAAATATGTTCGTCACGAAAGGACTTTTAGTCGTTTAAAGCCGAAACTGTGCACCTGCCCACACGTATGTGTGTGTGTGTGTTGCTCGACGATAATATAATTACGTCGGACGACGTCGCTTACATACACTTTGTGCGTAATATAATCACACAATAATAATATATTACACCGTTACGGTGCGGTGTAATGTATAATACGAATAGGTTCGATTGCGAAGTCGTGTTCGCTTAATATTACAATAACAACGACTGTAATCGTTCGTCTCGAGTGCCAAATATCGTCGCGTTACCGGTTCGGAACGAATCAAATTATAATACCCACCTCGGTGGGTGGGTGGTGTGGTGCTGGAAGACGCGTCATCCCTATAAATCTTCGCGAAACGATCGTCTCGGATCGGCAAACACGGTGTTCGGGTGCAAAATATGTGCTCAATACGTGTGTGTCAGTCGTGTGTGTGCGTGTGTGTGTGTGTGTGCGCATATCATTATCATTGTTGCGTTTAATTTGAATTGCCGCCGCGGGACGGTTGCCAATGAGCGAAACCAATACAACAAGTGTTGGGCGTTATTGCCACTCGATGGATGCGCCTCGTCGTGTCACCCACCACTGGTCCGTGATACGAATATATATAAAGTCGTTTCCCGCACACGTTTTCTTGCCAACAATCTCCGTCGGCTGCACCCCTCGACCCACCCACCCCCCACCCCACAATCGGTCCAATAGACCGTACACAAGAGCATATATTGTGTAATATTGTATATAGTACGCATATATTACTCTATCGAACACGAGCCCGCAGTGCTATACGTCGGATTACTATGTACGCTCGGATCGATAAGACAATAATATATTATAGTACCTATACGCACATATTATTATTATTGTTATTATTGTTATTGCACAAAGGACGACGTTCGTGAAACGCAAGAAACGAAATTGTATACTGTTCACGCCCACGGGACGTTATGATAATAACCAGTCGCGAGTCTAAAAATCTCAAAAATGTAGCTAATAAAGTATAATATTGTTATAGATATTATATTATTGGTAACCATATTACCAGTTTTATTTACATTTTCAAAGTATGGTTTATAAGACGTATGAACTGTTTACTGTAGAAATAAATATAATATAACACTATATTAAAACATTTCCAAAGGTGGGGGGGGGCTAAAGCCTATTAGACCTCCTTAACAAATACCAGAACAATACAGGCATTCTAGTCTATATGTCTTCGATTGATATCAGGTGCCCCCTGGTATATAACCAATGAATCACTTCTTAAAAACATCTACATTCCAACCTTAAATTATCTTGCTATGATCACCTACAAAAAAAACACACAAAACATACAGCACTCACTCAAATCCTATAATCACTCAACTATCATCCAAACAAATCCTAGGTAACACACCCAGGCGCCTGAAAAGGAACTGGTGTAGGGACCTACTCTCTGCTTAAATCGA